GGGAGATTGGAAATTGGTCTATAATTAGCTAGGACACCTGGGTCAAGAGTAGGCTTTTTGAGTAGAGGTTTAATTACTGCAACCTTAAAAGCCTGTGGAACATAACCTGTTAATAGAGAAATGTTAATCAGATCTAGTATGGATGTGTTGATTAGGGGAAAGATGCCTTTGAGCAGCCCGGTCGGGATGGGATCCAGGAGACATGTTGATGATTTAGATGAAGCAGTTGTTGAGGTCAACTCAGAGAGATCTATGGGAGAGAAGTAGTCCAAGTATAAATGAGGTCTTACAGGTAATCTATTAATTTAAATTCAAAAGTTATTAGAAAATGGTTAGACAGAAGAGGGTTATGGGGAAAAACTATTAAGTGTTCAGTTTTGATGCCATATGTCAGAACCAGATCAAGAGTGTGATTAAAACAGTGAGTGGGTTTATTTAGTTTGAGAGAAGCCAACTGAGTCTAATAATGAACAGAATGCATTGTTGAGGCTGTCATTGTCGGCATCTACATGAATATTAAAGTCGCCTACTATGATTATTTTATCTGTACTAAGCACTAAATCAGACAGAAAGTCTGAGAATTCACTTAAAAACTCTGAATAAGGAGCAGGTAGACGGTATACAATCACAAACAGAACAGGCTTTTGAGTTTTCCAGTTTGGGTGTGAGAGACTCAGGGTGAGACTTTCAAATGAGTTATAACTATGTTTAGGTCTAGGGTTGATTAATAGGCTTGAGTCAAAGATCGCTGCCACGCCACCACCTCGGCCTGTGTTTCGAGGGATGTGACAGTTACTGTAACTAGGTGGAGTGGCTTCATTTAGACTGACATATTCTTCCTGCTGTAACCATGTTTCAGTAAGACACAATAAGTCAATGTGATGTTCACTTATCAAATCATTCACTAACAGAGATTTAGATGAGAGAGATCTGATATTTAATAGTCCACATTTGATTGTCCTATTACTTTCTACTATAAGAGGAGTCATCCTAATTTTAATTAGGTTCTTATGAATAACTCCTCTGGAGTTGATTCTTGATTTATATAATTTAGGTTGGGGTGGGGGGGCGGCAGACACAGTCTCTGTGGGGTACTGGGAGTTTTGGGTGGGTAGCAGCTGCAGAGAGATGGCAGAGAGGCATGTCAAGACAAGACTGCGACCCTGCGTCCTGGACTCAACTCTGGGTTGTCATAATTCAGGTTGTAAAATAAGCTCTTCCAGATTTCTAGATATGAGAGCCGCACCACCTAAAGTGGGATGGATGCCGTCTCTACTAATCAGACCAGGCTTAATCAGACATTACTGTTTGGTATCACCTCTGCTCACTTGGAACCTCGACAGAGGCGATACCAAAAATAGTATCAGGTGCCAGGTACTATCCCCAACATTTGAACGATGGAAATCCAAATAAGGTGAGTAGAGTAGAGTCAAGTTGAGCCGGTACCAGGCTGTGGAAAAGGGCTATAATCTGAAACTGTTTAGGGAAAAAATCAACCATGGCATTTATGATGAATGTTGCTGATCATATATGGACAAAAAAAGCATTACCTAACTGTCCAACTCTCTGCAGATCCTCAGGAAGCTTGTCGCAGGGGTCTCCGTACCAGTGACATGTAAAATCCGAATCCTGCCTTCGGTAAGAGGAAAATATTTCCCTCCTACACCTCAACTGCTTGTTAACTCTCAGAATAAACATTACAATGGCAAAGACACTCTTACACTGTTCAGGCCAATGAACTGGTGAAACTGGATTTTGAAATTATAACATTTCAAAAAGAAAAGTGAAATTTTAAATAAGATGGAAACTAAAGTAGTCTGTAAATGCCTATATTAATAACTTAAAATGCACCTTTGAAAGTGAAATATTTAAATGTGCTATATAAAGTCAGAAGCAGTTTCAAGCTTTGAAAGAGTCTCCCAGTGTCCCCAGAAGCCTCTTTCTGCTTTCATGCTGTTCACTTGTTCCAGCTGGAGGAAACGGTCGGTCTGGTCCAGAGGATCGAGAAGACTGGCGTTGCTGCTGTTGCTGTCCATGGCAGGTACACTGCAGTAAACACAGTAGCAGCATGGAGATGATATGAAGGCTTATTTAGTTACTGCACTCTGGTAATGTTTGGTAACGGTTTACCTGGTGTATTTGTGACTTTTGGAATAAACATACTTGTTTTTGGCACCATGCTTTCACACTGCACCCTGTTAAACCCAACATTATATTTTATGATTTGTCATCTTGATGATTCGGTTTATGCAGAAATAGTCCCTATACAGTCAAAGAGCATTGGTCTGATTGGCCTGAGGGCAGCCTGCTTCATTCACGTAGTAGCATGTAGTATTTGTGTCTGTGTTGCTGATGGATGTATTGTCTAGGTTTAAGGAGGAGCGTCCCAGGCATCCAGTTCACTGTGACTACATTCAGGCTGTGGCTCAGGCTGTTTCCATCCCTGTCATTGCCAAGTAAGCATCACTCTTCACCGATCTGTTTGAGCTCAGCAGGACACTGGTTCAGCTTGCTTAGCTTCATGTTGTAAACGGTGCAATGAAATCAGTTCCAGGGACACGGACAGGTAATCAATAACTGACTTTGGTTTATTCTCTGAGTTCTGTTATCTTGTGTGCTGCTACAGTTTCAAGATGAATTGCAGCTATGTGCAGAAAAGCACAAACCCGAGGAGCCACGTGGCTTGAGCCTTACACCTAATGTCCACTCCAGTGACAAGCTTCTGCTGTGTTCTAAAGTTTCCGGTTGAGTTTTTCCTCCTCGTGAAGCAGAGGGTCGTTTTCTGTACACACTGTAAAGGTTTCTGAGGTCTGGGGCTTTTAAGTGAAGCTGACTTTACAAAAAAATTCAGTTGTATGTAGACTTTTTTATCTTTATTTATTCAGGGTAGGTCTACTGAGAGGCCACTTCTCTTTTCCAGAGACGCCCTGTTCACATTTACACCTGGAAGCAGCCCAATACTACCACAGACTGACGTGCTAGCCTCTGAACAGCTCCACTGGAGCTTTGCTCAAGGGCACCGCAGTGGTGTTACAAGCAATGCTGCTTTGTCACTTGTCCCAACCAGATTTAATCCTGCCGGTCCAGGGACCTCCCAGTCACGTGTTCGCTTCTCTAACCTTTAAGTCACCACTGCCCCATAACTGCCCTCTTTAGACTAAACTGGTGTATGTAAAGCTTCCAGGGAGCCCAGATGTGCAAACAGGACAACACCAACGAATACAGTCTAGTCACAGTGTGCAGAAAGCGCAGTTCGTACATCCTTCAGCACTTCACATGTCCTGAACGGTATAATCTAATGAAAAAGATATGTAGACACACTGTTGACTTCAGCATAAAAAACAGAACGCAGACCTGGTTCGCTGCCTGCAGTTATCAACATGTCTCCCTACGTGTTTTGAAAAGTGAATTTAATTGTTTCTTGTTTAACTGTAAAATGTTTGATGTCTAAGCATCTTTAAACACAACAGCAGCAGCATTTTAAAGACTTTTTTGTTTCGGCTGAGATAATATGACAAGAATGGATAAAAAAAACAAGTTGTCAAGGTTCCTGTTGTGGAGTGGAACTGGAGAACAGAGAATCCGTCTGAGAAATGTTTGTCATTAAACTCAGTGGGTGTGGGATCTCTTCGTGCAGCGGAGGTTCTCTGGATCTGGTGAAGACCCATGCCAACATCGAGGAGTTCAGGAAGGTGACGGGGGCCTCTTCAGTCATGTTGGGCCGCGCCGCCATGTGGAACATGTCAGTGTTCAGCAGCCAGGGCCCAGATCCTGTGGAGAAGGTTATGGATGAATACCTCAAATATGTAAGTGTCCTTGCTATCACAGAGGCATATTTTAATGTGAGGCATAAGTATTATACAACTGTCTTACATAGGATGGACAATCCTTTATTAAGATCATTTAAGGATAGTGGCATCTTATGTTGCACCAGCAGAAATGGCAGCTGGTCCTCTCCTTGAAGGAGTCTTGGCAGTTTATCTTGATTAATTATTTCAGTTTATCAGAATTGTTGATTTTTTTCAGCTCTAGTGCTAAATGTAATTATTTGCAGGTGAGTTCATCACCCTGCATTTACAGAGGTTTAGTTGGCATCGTGTGGAGATAACAGCTCCTGCTTTAATTACACTGCTTTGTTCTTTGAAGTTGGTTTCCACTTCCAATACTGAACTCTATGTTCCGGTGTTGAAAAATCCAGTGGGGAAACTGTGTTTTCTCAGCTCTAACTGTGCTGTCCATGCAGCAGCAAATTGGCAGGACTCTGAACTTGTGTTTCACAGGCGATCCGCTACGACAACCATGCCTTCAACACCAAGTACTGTTTGTGTCAGATGCTGAGAGACAAGGTGGAGTCTCCTCTGGGGAAGCAGGTGCAGGCGGCCCAGACCAATGCTGAGATCAGGTACAGGACTTTTTTTATGACCATGTCTGATGTCGAGTATCAGTGAGGTGCTCACAGACTGTGACTCTGTTGTAGTGTGGCCTTTGGGCTGCAGGAGTTTTACCTACAGATGCAGGAAGAGCTGCAGGCCAGGAGGGACTCCCTGCAGAGCGACAGCCAGCCCGACCGCCCCATTATAGACGGAGACGTCACTACCATGGCCGTCAAGTTTGAGCGGTCAGTGATCACTAGGCTCAATAATTATATATAATAATTAAGTGAACACTGGAAGCATTTGTTTCACATCTGAATGTGAGTTGTCAGATGTGAAACAAATGCTGAGTACAACAGCTCGTGTTCAGCTGGCTTCATGTTTAATGTTGGTGTGTTATTCCTGTTGGGGGAGCACTTCACGCTGATGTTGGACTGACACTAGTCACGTGTCTATTCTGAATTCAGATGTGACTAGTGAACTACATGTGTATGTTTCTCATCTGATGACGCTATCTTCCTGGGAATTGGCATTTCTTCAGATTTTATTTTTAGATGGGAGATATGACGTGAAAGGTGTGAGGGTGTCTAACTTGTATCTGTGGCTTCAGGAGAAAGTATCCACCTCAGATCACTCCGAAGATGTTCCTGCTTGAGTGGAGCCGCAAGGAGAAACTGGAGCAGCCGCTGTATGAGACGGTAGGAAGATCTGCAGCAAAATTAGCCTTTTACAGCTCGTGCTGAAAAAGGAAAATGTCTTTTTGTAAAATACACTTCAGTCTTCAAATTTGGTGTATACAGTAGTATTTTAGCTGGGGTAGTGATTAAAGGGCAACTACACATTAAATTATTTTGTAGTAGTACACATAATTGCATAGAACTTTGTTGACCTCTGCTGTTCAGAAGAAAAGGACTCGTACTGTATGGTCACATTTAGCTAGTTTCTGTCACTTTGGATTTGAATATTCAGTTCTGCCAAATCCTCTAGTCCCGCCCTAAAATGTGACACCACTCACATGACTGAAGAAAATCTGAATGAACTATTGAATACCCTGCGTATGTTTGTTCCTTCTATGCAAAGAGAAGTTAATTGTTGGCACAAAATATCAGTTAATCAGCTGCTTGAGCCCAAATTTGGGAAATGTGTACGGCTGTTTTTGTAAGCCCCGCTTCTGCTGATTGTGTCACACTTGCCCACATTTGTGTGTTTTCAGGTGCAGCGCTCTCAGGATCGAGCATTTCAGTCGACTGTGACTGTAGCAGGAAGGAAATATAGATCCTCACTGTGGTCAGTGCACGACTTTTACAAGCCACAGAGCTTCATTCACAGTCAGCAAATTAAATTATTTTATTTAATTAATATTTAAAATGAGAGAATTAATTAGTTTTAATTTTTTAGGTTTTTTATTATTAATTAAATGTAGTTAAATAGTACAGTACTGTCATAATGAGTCCATTTATGTTTCTATTCAAATTCAACACTGGCTCCCCCCACCACGCCTCCTTCTAACTTGGTATATGGATGGAAAAACAAAACGACTTCAAAACAAAAGGGTTCATGAGGGGTTTGCTGAGACTCCCACCTGGGCCAGGGTCCCTGCTTGTTTGTTGTCTTATCTGTAACTTGATGTGTGTTTCGCTCTTTGAAGGAATAAACTATTAAATAAATGTTTGTTTACATGTTAGGGCAGGTTATAGCTCCATTGTCGCAGGTGTCGGCGCCCAGCAGCAGATTAATGACGGCGCGACCTGACACCCCACGATGGAGGCCAGTGAAAGCTCAAAACTAGGGCTACTGATCACCCATGTCTAGAATCGATTGGCTTCAGTTGGTTTTAGGAGGATTCATTTACTTTAGATGTTACCTAAAGTGCTTCTCAGAATTCTGGGGAACTTGTAATGTTATGTAAAGTTCACATTACCAAGTTCTGGTTCTGATTGACCTTGGCAAATATAAAACAACATTCAGGTGAGGTAGCATAAAACAACATTCTGCATGATTTAAAAGATAAATGCTGAACTGGTTTTAACCCTAACCTGTGTACGTATGTTAAGAGTGCTTGATTTAGCTTTATCAGGGGAGCAGTCTGTGGAGGAGTCTGAGCATATTTTATTGTATGGCTGCTTGTGTTTACTCACCATTAAACACTAGAGAACTTTGCCTTCTTTGCACAAACGTGTTTATTTCTCACATGTAGGTTTTGAAACCTTCCTGTCATCTGCTAACGTTAACACTGTCAATTTCAGGGAGAAGTCGAAGAAGTTTGCCGAACAAGCAGCAGCCATCGTCTGCCTGCGAGTTCTGGGAATACCGGAGGGCCATATTGGCGAGAAAGACTCCAGCCTGGTCTGCAAGAGGAAGAGGGAGGGGAAGATGAACGGCAGCGCAGAAGAAGAGCAGAGGAAGAAACGACACTTAGCTGATACCCAACAGGAAACAGAAACCACAAAGACTATGGCCAGCGGGGACCATAACAAACCAGAACTACTGTAGAGTTTCTGAAAGAAATCGGAAACCTTGTGCGGTTTCAACAGAAGGATAAGTGACTTCTGGTGGGAACTGGAACAACAAATCTGGCTGAAGTTTTTGTCCTGTGCTGTTGAAGAAAACACCAATTTGCGATTATTTACTCTTAAGCACAAAGAGCAGCCGCTTGATTCTTTTCATCACTTCAGCTAAAACTGTTTAGTTTGAGCTGGGACCTGCCCAGTGGAAATACAGTTTTCCACTTGATCTCCTGGGAGAGAGTCTTTATTGTTCGCCTCTGCCAATTCCCCCTGAACGTAAAGGTGTTTTTATTTTCGTGAAATCTGTGTTTTTAACCTGAGGAGGTTGTGATGTAGATGTGTGACCAGTAAGCGGCAGCACTGGAACTTCTTGCCAAGGTTAGGTCATCATAAATATGTCTGAAGTTAAACTTCGGTGCCTTAAACTCAACATTTCATCTTTTCACCTCTGTTGAAGAAGACTGATGTTGGAGCAATGAGTTTACCTGTATTTGTCTCAAGTTGATTTATGATACCATATTTTTGTATTTTGGCTTCATTCACATCAGGTTGTTATTTGTAAAAGATCTGAGGTGAGAAATCTTCCAAACCCTGCAGACACCACTGGTTTCATTTCTGAGTATTTTTATATTTTCCATAGATGTGATGAAAAGACTATACCTGAGTGAAGTTGTGAGCATAGCTGCAGCTGATTGGTCAGCAGAGACGAACTGTTGCATACAAGTGACGTGTTCCTGTGGTACGAGCACACGTCCGGTGTGTAGATAGAGACCAAAGATAAAACAACAATTTGTCCTTTAATCTAAATGCAGCTGCTGGTCTTAAGTCCAGAACTGAACCTGAGACACTGATGTCATGACCGGCAGCCCAATGCTGCCTTCGTGTGTGCTGGGACATAGGGGGGGAGTCACAAAGTTTGGTGCACATAGAGGAACCAATAAAGCTGTACTGCAGTATTGTGTGATACCATATGGCAACGTCTCAGAAGGATCGAATATAAATTGATGAAAAACAAAAGCAGCAGCTGTGTGTTCACTGATTCACAGTTACAAAGATGCCTGAAGATAAAACCTGGTCCTGGTGCAGATGGGAAATTGTTTTGGGGAGAGCAGGGAGTAAAGATGGATTAAAAGCTTCAGATCAGTGTGTTTCGACCTCTCTAGCTCTTCACCAGGGCGGAAACGGTAAAAACAGACTGTTCACTCCTGCCTTTCTCTTATCATAAACAACAGAAGTGATGATACTGCAAACGTAATAAACTGTCACAGTGAACCCTCCTCATGAAAAAAGGGAAAATAAGTAAGTAGAGATTCTAACACTCGGTCGCTTGCATGGTGTTTTCATCCGTTTCCTCTTTCAGACCAGAAAATATCAGCTGTGGAAACAGGTTTCTCTTTGCAGCAGTTTTTGGGCGGACCTCTTTGATGGGTAGTTCAGGAGCTTCTGTACTCTGCAGACCGTCAATATGCATGGAGGCGTGCCAGAGTAATAACAGACTAGATTTTGTTTCTCACGGCACATTAATGTGCGCTGTGTCTGTCTGTGTTCAGTGCATCCAATGCAGCAACATGTACAGGGGCAAGTGAGCGACACACTACAATGGTGTTGTTGCAGTTAATTTTTCTGGTGTTATTTTAACATATGCCTAGAAACCACATTACATTATGGTGCTATTAAGATTAATATCATAAAAAAGTTTTGATGGCAAGTATTGTTACCTCTCGGGTATTATAAAGGCAATTTTATTTTATAGCACATTTTCATAGACAATTCAAAGTGGTTTACGTAATGGACATTAAAAGAGAATATGTCAAAGAAAGTGTAAATTAAAGTACAGACATGTTTAAATCAGAACTTATAGAATAAGTGGAACATTAATTGAAAGAATAGTCTTTAGTTTTAAAAGTGGCTCCATTTGGGGCAGATGTCGGTTGCACTGGGAGCTGGTTCCAGCTGTGGGCAGCATCATGGCTAAAGGCACTTTCACCTTGTTCAGCTGGCGCTCTGGGCACCACCAGCTGACCAGTCCCTGATGCTGTGAGGCCAGGCCTGTACTCAGCAAACATGTCTCTGATGTGTTTTGGGCCCAGACTATTGAGAGACTTGTAGACACTGAGTAGGGCCTTGCACTGAATTCTGTATTTAGGTGGAACCCGGTGCACAGATCTAAGGACTGGATTGATGTGTTGTCTCTTCCTGGTGATTGTCAGCATTCCAGCAGCAGCATTTTGAATGAGTTGTTGTCTGATGGTCTTACTGGGTTGGCCAGTCAGTGCAATACAGCAGACTGCCCTACTAGAAACATAAGCTGAGCTTTTCTAAGTCCTGCTTAAACAGAAGGTTTCTCACTGTGACTGTTTTTAAGATGCCAAAATGATGATTTTTGTAATTTGCCATTCAAATTTTAATCCTCATCACTGATTACACCACAGTTCATAAATAAAGAGCAGCAGGTGTAAACAGTCTGTGGTTAGCGTTCCCTCCCCTGGAGGCTGAAACCAACTAAAAGCTTTTAATTTAATCCATCTTCACTCCCAGATCTGCCGGAGACGCCTGACAAACGTTTCCTTGTCTTTAAAAAAATCAAAAGTTGTCAAAAGAATAGGCTGTTTAAAAATGAGACCAGTTTTAACTTGGTGAATATTGTTTTTGCAGTCTTTAAACATGTTTTTAAGACACCTCAGTGCAGAGCAGGCGCCCATCGATCAACAGTGTTAGATGAAGTGTGACAGTAAAAGGAAGTCGAAACACAGCTGCACAGTACAGATATGAGAGATAACCAAATAAACTAGAAGGCATGCCATGAGCCTGTACAGAGTCTCAAGTGTGCCACCAGAATAACTATAGACATCTTTAAATGACACAACTAGCTGTTTCTTTATTTTGATTTTAAATTATATTAATAATGAATAATTTAAAATTTAATTTATATCACAAAATGTTATATTTACACTCTGTAGTAAACAGAATTTCTTAGTTTTAGACAATAGGACAAAGAACAGCACATCTGTGGACGTCCATTGTGCACCCAAATATAAATACACAAATATATACTCATTCGGTAAATGTATTATTAAAACACAGGTAATTACAAAAAAAAACAGGAAAAATAATCTTCCTAACTCTTTTAGAAATAAAAATATACAAGTTTTAAAGAAGCAATTGTAAATTAAGATTATTAATCCTATTTTAAAGTTTTCATTTAACACTGTGAGGCTCTGCCACTGTCACACAATGACAAGATGGTTTACAAACTACTGCAGTTATTTAAACCTGGTGGTGGAAGAAGTACTGAGATCCTTTAATAAAACTAACACCATGGTGCAAAAATACTCCAAGACCCACAGTAAAACTCCGCTGTAAGTAAAACTGCAGAAGTGCTGGTAACAGAATGGTATTTATGTATCACAGTAAAAGTATATTATGCAAATGGACCCTATGTCACTGTTATATCTGACATGCACAGATTATTAAACCTGATGCTTCAGCAGCATTTTCCTGCTGCTGATCCAGATGGAGCTACTCTATATACAGCTTGTTAGTTTAGTCTAGTGGGTCCCAGCCTAGGGGCAAAGCCCCGCCAAAGGGTCACCAGATAAATCTGACGGGTCTTCATGTGATTCATGTAGGACAGGACAGAAGAGAGTGTTCTGATTAACTGTTTATAGGATATTGTCTGTTTTGTCCGAAATACTGTATCAGTTGACCTGTTTGGGCATTGAACAGTTATTTAAATGAAAACATCTGAGAAGTTCCGCAGAGAAATCCTCAGTGGAACAGACGAGAACCCAACCAGGTGCTGCAACGGGCACAAAAGTTTCATGCACTGTATTTTCCTACGATTATTGTAGACTTTAATACACAATCAACTCTAAAGTAACTTTCAGTTATAAGAACTACATTATTTTCCTCTAAAATGTAGTAAAGGCTGGTATATAAGGTGATGTAGCATAAAATAAAAATACTCAACTGAAATCCATGCTACTTGACTAAATATACTTGGTTACTTTCCACCTCTGATTAAAGTTGCATTTTGATTATTTCTGTTTTCTGTATTTAATTCTGTGATTTTTACGTGGATGTGTTTTGTCTTCTATGTTTGGTAAAGCACTTTGTGTTGAGAGAGGTGCTTTATAAATTAAGATTGCTTAGCTTTGCAGTATTTTCTGCTATTGCTTCATTGGTAACTAGAGTGTCCGAGGGGCCCTGAAGGCAGCAGCAGGATCTCACTGGAGTGGGGTAAAAGTCGCTGCGGCCGAAAACAAGTTCACACAAAAATGTGACTTTTCTGTGGTTACTACGGACGCACAGGCTTGTTTAGTCACCGTGTACACGGCGGTAACAACTTTTAGTCAGGAGTTAGTCGACGTGTTGCTTCAGTTTAACGGAGTTGTGTTTTCAGTCGGATGAAGTGAGTGAGACAGGTCGGCGCTAAAGACAGACACGTCTTTTTCGGCTGTGAGTTCGTCTTCTGTCCGATGTCCGCGGCAAAGTGCGCCGAGGAGCTGGACTTCCGACTGCTCTTTGAGGGGGACTGCACACAAACTACAGGTCGGTCTGTGACATTTTAACGACGTTAGTTAGCAGTTTGACAGATGCATGAAGCTAAGGACAATTAGCAACAGCTACCCCGGAAGTCAACAACGTCACCTTCAAAATAAAATACTTAAGACAGCAGAAAACCTGCAGCTGAATGCAAAGTTTGATTTAAATGTGTATAACTTTAATAATTGTCATTAAATCCCCGTAAGCGGATTTAATTTAAAATTTTGTATTGTTTATGTTATCGTCTTATTGCTACAAGTATCTTTTTGTTGTCACTTAACTGCAAATGTAAGTATTTAATTTATAATGACGCTTTTAGATTTAGTCAAATTACTACTTGAGTGCGAGAAAACATTGTAAAAGTGTATAATTATCCCAGTGGCATACAAGAAGAAAAAGTCCAGAGCTCTACTCTATATATTATACATATACATATACATTATGCAAAAAACAAAAACTCAGTGTTTATATTTAAACAAAATGACGAATTTGCCTAGGGTTGTCCACATGTTTACTTGAATGTGGCAGTAACTGAAAAACTGTGGAATAATAAATTGGGCTGTATCCAACAATAATTTTAATTATTGATTAATTGGCTGATAATGTTCTCAATTAATTATGTTGTTTGTAAAATATCAAAAACTGTGAAAAACTCCTGTCAACATTTCTCTGAAACAAATGGGGTGTCTACAGATGCCTTGTTTTGTCCAAGCACAAAACTAAAGGTATTCATTTTCCCATTATGTTTGACAAAGACAAGCATCAAGTCTTCACAGTACAGAAATATTTGTTGAGTAATTTCCCACCGATTATATGGCTAACTTGCTCTGGTTGCCGACATCATGACAGCCATTAAATGACCTTTTCTGTGAAGGAAATGTGTTAAAAAACAGACTGTTTTGGAGTTGATGTTATTGTAAGGGTTAAATGAGACAAAAGCCCCTGATGGATCAAGTTTGTTTGAACCAAGTTTATTTTCAGTATCTCTGCATAACTGGAAGTTATATTGTCTTATTTTGGTGGAGGAGACCCATCCTGTTTTTAAATGTGGAGAAGAAGAAGAGCCTGACAAGTAGTAGTTTCAACATATCAATCAGTAGACTGTAGATTGATGTATTGGACATCCTAACAGAAAAACTACAGCGATACAGTATCACTTCACTCACAATTCTTGTCACCATACTACCGTCCTAATTAGTGGATTAAGAAACATTTGTAATAATTAGTTAATTGTTGAAGTCATTTTTCAAGCAAAAGTACCAAATGTGTGATGGGTCCAGGTGCTCAAACAGAAGAGTCTGCTGAGCTTCTCAGTCTTACGCTAAATGTTGAGATTTTTATTACATGCTGATTTTAGGGATGTTGAATATGCTAACGATCAAATTATGACCAGGTGGTGTCCCTCAGTCTGAAACCAGAGATTTACAGCACATATGTTAAGAATTTTAGGAGAAGCTGGTAAATTGTATAACGCTTTTCTACCAGCACACTCACCAGGAGCAGCTTCGGCTTCAGTGTCTTGCTCAAGGACACTTCGATATGAGGAGTAGATGACCCGCTCTACCTCCTGAGCCAAAGCCATGCCAGGCCTGCAGGATCCATACATTAATTGATTAGCAGGAATCGTTATTTGCAGCCTTGGTTGGAACCAGTGAACATGGGCTTTTCTGCTTAAAAATGATTAAAATGCATACGTTACAATAAACATGATTAGAGCCTACACAGATTATCATAATGATGTAGTCAACTGATTGTTGAATCGGCTGGTACCAGTTCCAGATCAGCGAGTGTGCCTTTGACATCTCGTGCCACGGACATCTCGTGGTTATCATCACCTGGTGTCTTTAAGGAAGGAGCGGTAAATGTTGAAATGCTGGATCATATTGTATCGTGTTCCTGGAATAGAAACCAGTGGAGTTTGAGTTGTGGCAGCTGATTTCCCCCAACAATATTTCACTGACCTCACAGTCTTTGTGCCAGCAGACGCCTCTGAATGTGGAAAGTGCATTTCCTGACAGTTTATTGACAATGTGAATGATCAGTCATGATAATAATCTTCAGGTTAACCAGTAAAGGAAATAACATTGTACTGGTACCTCAGGGTCAGGTCAAGCTACATGACAGTACTTTTACTGCACTGTACTTGTCACGTACTTTGATTATTTTCATTTTCTGTTTCTTCTACTACATTGCATTTCACAGGGACAGACAGACAGACTGACTGACTAACTGACAGGGGCATGGATAGATAGAGTAATGGGTAGACAGACTGATAGACGGATTTGTAAATAGACAGTTGGATGGATGAATAAACAGGTGGACAGACGGACAGGCAGGTGAACAGATGCAGTGTAAATGAGCACTGCCTGGTTCCTTTTCAGTCTCTCTGCAGACAGACGTGTCGCCTAGCAGTCTGCTGGCAAATTTTACTTCCTGGTTTTCTAACCGCTCTGTGGCACACAGCTGGCAGCGACATCGTTGTCTCCTCCTCTTCCTCCCCCTCCTCCATTTGTTTTATCACCCCTCATTTGTTTCTGTGTAGCACATCAAGGTTCATTTGCAAAGAAGCAGTGAGTGGAGCTGCTGAAGCAGATCACAGTTTCTGCTGTGACATCGCTTTGCATTAAGCGGGCAAGGTTTGTGTGTGTGGGCATGGATGTGTGAGTGTGTATGTATTTTAGTTTGTGCGTGTGTGTGTTATTTATTTAGTTTTACTTTGTTTTTATAGAATTTTTTTAAGTGTCATGACAGAACGGAGCAGAACACAAAGGCAAATGTCAGGTGCTGACAAAGGAAGCGTTACCTCAGTGTAAAGTAACCGTCTTGTGGCGGTATAAGGGCTACAGTGTACAAGCACTCTCAGTATTTGCAGTTAATTTCTCCCAGTATATTACATATTGATCATATCTCAATTTAAGGGTGAATGTTAGTTTCTCAGTTTGATGTATTTCATTAACTGCAGTCCAGTTGTCTTTCATTGGGCAGCTTGGTTGTAGCCATTTGCTTGTGACAGTAATTGATAAAGGTATTTGTGCTGTGGCTTGAGGTTGTCCGGTATTTTGCCCAGGTGTAGTGTGACAAAAGAGCCACTGACTCTATTCCAAAGCATCATTATTTCCTTAGCAATGTCGTGCCACTATGTTAGCAGTAAAGGGCAGGCCCAGAAAACATGGAAGTGTCCAGGCATGTTTTCCCCACAATATCTCTAACATTCATCCTGCCCCTGAATTCCCCTTTGGATAAATTTCAGTTTTGGAGTTATAAAGTACTGTATTAGGTTCTTCCAACAAAGCTCTCTCCAAGACCTGAAGTCAGTGGTTTTAGTCTGGTTTTCCCATAAATTATTCCAGTAGTCCACAGATATCTCCAAAGCAGACTCCTCCCATCTCTGTTTGGCGTGGACAGTTGTATCATTCTTCAGTTTTTGTATTCTCTTTTTTTTTTTTTGTAGATTTTGCTTTCCCATTGCAACCAAGACATTTGTCTTACACTTATGTCTGGACAGCCCAAAGAGTAGAAACTTAGCAGAGCACTACAAATATCACATATGTTGGCTTCCACAACTGGAGAACAGATGTGCTCCTTAAAACCAAGGGGAAGACCTGTTGCACAGTCAGGGCCCCTCTCTGGTATGGTTGCTCACAAAATGATGGTGTAGAGCAGTTTTTCTGCTCCTTCTTGTTTTCCCACTTCCATTAATAATTCTTTTTGGTTCTAATTGTAGGGTAGTATTTGTATCATCCCCTCTCAAAGGGAGAGAGAGAGAAAGTCACTCAATCAATCTTCAAAATGATACACATTATTTGTCCCTTTGTCCAAACAACAAGAGAAGTCACTGAACATGGTAGTGAGGCAGTTTACCCTGGTTTGGCTGTGAGCTGTGCACTCCTTTCCCTCCCTGAAGTTTATTCAGGTCTCCTGAGGGCTGCTTCAGAGTGAAAGCAGCTTTTGTTTAATCTCCTCCGCCTGGAGATGACGTTTAGCTCTTACCTTCTCCCATGCCGGGTTTTTGTATTTGAAATTGGATCAGGCTGTCTCTCCTGGGTGATGGGGAATCCAGGCCATCTTGCATACTTGTCAATCTTTGGGCTGCCGTTCAGAAATACTTTGATCTTAGCAGGTGGCAGAGTCTGGAACCGGATCCCTCTCTCCTTGAGTACTCTTCTTATTCCCACATACTCCTTTCTTTTCTTCACAATTTCTGTTGTATAGTCATGGTGAAAGTAGACTGATTCCATCTGCCGCTGCTCACAGTAAACATCTAAAGTGTCTAAAATGTGTGGACAGGGTTAGAAAGGGTACCGCACTTGTGTTTGCAACTAAAGATTAATTTCTTTATTGATTAATCTGCTCATGATTTTGTCAATAAATCAGTTATTTTCTGTATATAAAACATAATTAAATCCATAAAAATACCAGTTATAGTTTTCCCATAGTCCACAGACATGTTCACCACTGCCCATACCTTAAATAACACCAGTTTATCATGTGTGTCATGTCAGAAGCAGCAAATATTTAGCATTTTTGCTTGAGAAATGACATAAAAACTGCATCGCTTATCAACTGATCAATTCATTGCCTAATCCTTGCATATATTTGTGATGAATTCAACCAAAGTGTGATTTTTCAGTTGACCCCCACCAGATAAAGTGGGGCATCAACTAATGATTATTTTCATTATTGATTAACCTGCTAATTTTTTCAGATTTGGTTTATGAACAGACAACAGAGTGGTAAAAATCCTCATCGCTCTTCCAGATGGCATCTTCCTTTGTCCAACCAACCTCCACAAAACAGAGAACAGAAGCAAATCCTTTCCTTTCAGAAGCTGGAGCTTACAGTAGTTTAATCTTTTCTTTGATAAATGAGGGAAATATTTAGTAGGCTTACCATCAGTTATGAATCTAAAAAATATTGCCAGTGATCCATGGATTGAAAGTGCAGCAAAGGTGCTTTTCTGGGTGTGGTTGCTGGGAAACAGGACAGCAATGTGATCTGGTGAATTGACATGCATCAAGACACTGCTTAGGCTTAAAGAGAACAGAGTGGGTGATGTTTGTTGCTGCTGTTGTGGTGTTTCACTTTGGTCTGTCAGCAAATGTGAGGAAATGCTCTTCTTCATTTGTGAGATTCCATGGATCTTGTTTGTAACCAAAAGCCCCAAATCCAAAGATGTTCACTGATGATACAGAGAAAAGTATCAAAATATTTTTTCCTTCAGCCAGCCACTTTATTAACGGTCAAACAGTAATTATATTTTTCCACAATCCCAAGTGTCCAAAACGAATTTCCCCACATTGGACAACAGATATATGAACTGAGCTGATGTAATGTTTTTATTGTTATGATATTTAGCTGTATTACAGAAACTCAAATTCAGGTTTACAGTAACAAGACACAAGAAAGCAGAAAAGCTTAATTTTTAATTAAATCATTGCTTAATTATGTTCTATTGATTAGCTATTGACTGATCTCTTTAGGTGGTGGACAAACAATGACCTTCAGAAAAGCCACATGATAATAAGACAGAAGAGGAAACAGCACAATAAAAATGCATTTCATGGCTGATGACTTACATAAATTACATTTTATTTGAAAGGCGATGATCAGCCATCAGGCGCAGTGCTCCACAAGCTGCTGCACTGCGTTAAAACACGTGTGTTTCTCATGCCAAAGACTGCAGATCAGATTTACATGTTGAGTCATCTACCTCACAGGTGCAGACCTCGATGTGAGGACGTCTCCCTCTTTCACACAGGCCGAGCAGCCCGCCAGCCAGGAGCTGCAGAGTCGCCCTCCATGTTTCACTGCAGACAGCTACCAGCATGTCAGACACCAATCCCAGGGGCCCCAGTACGGAATGCAGGGGAACCTCAGGGCCTTTGATTGTCCGAGTATCCAGATCACCTCAAGCGCTCCTAACAACCATGTGGAGCCGAGCATTAGCCAGGAAGTTTTGGCAGTGGGTGGGGCAGAGGGTGGCTACCTCGAGACATCCTGGTCCAGAGATCAGCTCTATCTGCCCCCAGACCCCTGCTACCGGGACCCGGTGCTTTGCCCAAGTCCCTGCAGCAGCCTGTCATCCAGGAGTTGGATATCTGACCTGTCATCCTGCGAGTCCTTCTCCCTGCTCTACGACGACGTGGATGGGGAGCTACACGATGCTGCCCGCCTAGCCCTAGGGTCCCCCCTTGGTTCACCTCTGGGGTCCCCGGGCTGTGGGGGTGGGGCTTTTGGAGTGGAGTTATGGCAACAAAAATACCAGCATCCTTTAGCCTTTAGCCCAACGTTGTCACCCCATCAGTCGCCCCGACAATCGCCCTCCCACTCACCTCGCACCAGTGTCACTGAAGAGACCTGGCTGAAACGCCGGCCCCCTT